CATTCATGATGGAAAAGAAATTCAATTATTAAAACATTTATAAAATTGTAATAATGTGAACACTGTGTTTTAATTAAGATTATATTTTTCATATTTTTTGTATTACGTCAAGTCATTGATATATTAAGAAATTGTTGTAATATTGTAAATATATATTTTATTAATAAGTATAACAGTATTTTATTTTTCCTATTATAATAATCATAATCAAAATCATTTATTCAGTTTAGGCTGTTACGAGTACAAGCACATATGAATGTCTAGAAGCTACGCCTTCGGTTCGTAAATCTACGGCGGGAAACCTTGTACTGAGAAACTCAGCAAGGGTTGTTTTTTTTCTCCCTATTTTATTATTTACAGAGTCCTCAAGTTGAAAAATGACTTCAGAGATGATTCATGAAGTCACCTTTCATTACATAATGTGAAATTATACATTAATTGTTCACCTGCATTTTGATTGCTGTGTCACACAGTATAAATACAAATAGAGTTATTTATAATAAGTGTAACTAAACATTTAGGTACATCTTAAATATCAACGTAGTTAGAGCAAACTCATCTCCGCTGGCAGCACCAGTTCACGAGCATGACGCATGAACCAGCCATCGCTCCGCTCAACCATATTTCAGGGAACGTAACGACCCGCCGCACACGACACCACCGAAGATACTTTTAAGAGAGCATGACTACCCATAACCACCTATGTCAACCACAACATATTTACTTAAAATTAAAGTAATATATCTGAGGACACTGCAAACAATTACAAAGCAAAAACAATGGAGAAATCATGACCACGCCGTTTTGTCATTCAAATCTTAAATAGTCTGATATTCTTCCTTACGTAATCTATATATATAAAACTCAAAGGTGACTGACTGATATAGTGATCTATCAACGCACAGCCCAAACCACTGGACGAATCGGGCTGAAATTTGGCATGCAGGTAGATTTTATGACGTAGGCATCCGCTAAGAAAGGATTTTGATCAATTCTACCCCGAAGCGAAGCGAGGGCGGGCCACTAGTCAACTATAAATACAGCTTTTAAATTCAATTAAAGTATCGTCAACACATGATTCATAATATTTATCATATAGAAATACCCGTTGAAATGGTTGGAACAGTTCAAACTCAAGTATTTTTGTCTATAATATAATCAGACACTTTATAATAAGCTTTCTTAACAAGTGATTTTTTAATGGTCGATTTAAATTTAGTCAGGCTTAACTCTTGAATATTGCTTGGGACTTTCTTGTAAAAGCGAACACAGAGACCTCTAAAGTAATCAACAATCAATTAATTTTCTTTAACTTCTTCCAAATTTTATTCTTTCTTTTCTTTCTCTTCCGCTACACTCTTCTACTCTTCGTAGGGGAGTGAAACGTTACAAATTATTAACATTAAACCAGAGGACTACCTTAGAAATAGACTTGTCCACGTCGTCAATTTGCGACTGCCTACGTTTAATTTTAAACAAAAATGAAGTGTCATCCGCAACCAATACTATTTCATGGTTATCCTATACAAAATAGGGCAAAACATTGATATAACTTAAAAATAAGAAAGGACCAATGATTGAGCCCTGCGGAACTCCCATCTTAACCGACGAACTAGGAGATTTTTGTCCATTGATGTCAACCCTCTGAACTATATCACTCAAATATGATACAATAAGATACAGAGTGGTATCTCTAAATCCATCCATAGTGCTGTAGTTTCCTGATCAATGTTTCATGAAACACGCAATCAAATGCCTTAGACAAAACATACCAAGTGCATCATGCGTGTTCTTCCAGGCATCAAAACTTTGCTGTACAAGCTCAACACTGGTGTCAATTCTGACATGATTCTCTAAACCTAAACTTAAATTTGACACCAGTGTATCCTTGTCATTCTCTATACAGAATGAAAAGGAGAGACTGATGTTAAATTTAGTTTTAAGTTTAGAGAATCACGCCGGAATCGACACCACTGACATCGGTTGTTGAGCGACCCCTTGTGAAACCAAATTGTTTACTATGCAGAATGTATTTACTATAAAAATATGATTTTGATATATTTTTACTGTTGAAACTTATTATTATACTAGCTTTTGCCCTCGACTTTGTCCGCGTGTACTTAGTGATTTAGGTAGCAAATTTTTATCAAATCTGCTTACTATTTAAAAAATATAAAGTTAATGGTTTTATATTTGAAAACATAAATAACGTGTCAAATTCGGGGTAATTTTAAATTAAAGAAGCGAGACATTTCCTGCGCAGTACAATAGGTGCAATTCAAGAACCAGTTACATTGTGAAAATATACATAAATATTGATGTGGCTCATATCGGTCAGAGCAGAACAGATAAAGTTACAAAAGTATTGAATTGTATGAAAAACATAAAATTATTGTCTAGGATGGAAGTACTATAGCCGGTAAAAAGAATCATTACATCAAAGTATACATTTTGGGTACCGGCAAAACTGTTAAATTTTGTTTGATTTTGGCAAAAACTAACTAAGAATCGAAGACTTACAACATACTTTTCCAATAGGCCCAAGGGGAACATGCCGATGGGAGAAATTTGACTTCAATGGCCCTTTTTCGTTTTTGTCATTCAATGAACAGAGACAAAACATAGATTAAAAAAGCTTAATCTTCGTTTATTAATAAGGGGGTTTGAATATAATTCAACTAGTATTCCATATCACACACTGGCACGGGATCATGACAACATAGAACTGACCGTGGGAGAAACAGTAATGTCGTAGATCTACTCCGGCGAATTTGAGAGTTCCTTCAGGGGAAACTGGAGCATTTTTAATTCAAAGAGAAGATCGCTTTGTATTAATGGAATACGTGGTAAAACACTGTTTCTCCCTGAGCAATCAAAATTGTAGCTTCTACTACGTTCTGAAGCAAAGCTTTGACTTGCTAATTAGTATACTTAACTCTTTCGCGTAACCATTCTTTTGATTTTTCCGAAATGAGCGCAACGTCTGGAGAAATTTTTGAATTAATACAGTCAAACCACCCATTAAACTTTTGTATTCAAAGCTTCATTAGCTATTTTTTTGGCCATAGTACTTTATCCCAGTCAATAATTTTTTTCTCAATATTTCCGAAAATTTGCTCTGTTTTGAAATATTACATAATGGAGTTTCTATATTGGTTCGGTTCAGTGGCAACTTTAAGGCAGAGTGTGCGGTCAGACCGCCTTGCAAAAGTGTTCCAGCAAAATGACGTGGGGCCTCGAATTTCATGGAGTAGCATTCTAAAATGAAAACATTCCGGATTGTTAGGGTGTATTGTATACACTCTGCCCAGAGTGTGTTCTTTTTTAATGCAAACCTATCCATCTACGTTCTCCACGTTTCCTCCTTTAGAATCGTGAATTAGTTCAAACATAATATGCTAGTAATTGGTAATATAAATGTGTTTTTGCAAAATCATCAGTACAACACAACTAAAAGAAGGCAGGAGTTTTTGGTGGGTTTGTCCGTTTATCTGCGAAGTTTTGCTGATCAACATATACTCCTTAGGCATTTTCCAGATGAACAGCAAGATTAAACACGGTGGGGAAGAATTCATGAATCGGAAATCCAAGAATATACGAATATAGGCGCCATAACGCCTCTGAACTACTTATGTACCTACCACTTTCGTAAATATTTATATCATCTTTTTAATTTTTAATGCAAAACTGGCCTGATCGGACAGAATGACAGAATTCAATGTTTATATGCGCGTTAAATGTTCTCAAAAGAACTGGATTAAATGGAACTACCCAGCGGTTGTCAATCCATTAATGCCAAAAGTAAACCACCTATATCTAGAGAACGTCTTCTATATTGCGGGTAGCCGTTGTCCCCGGTTTATATTCCACTCAGTAGAGGCCTGGGATAACTCTTAATGCAAGTTTTGTTTTTATACAAGATATAAAACTTCCGCATGGCAAATGTATCATATTACACTTTACTATTTCGAACCACGAATTCATCCATATAACACTTCGACACCCTCAATCCCTTTTTAGGGAGTAGTGTAGGAAAACGAAATTTTATATTTCGACACCCTAAATTCTTTTTCCAAGTGAATGAGTGAATTTTAACGCGTCTTAATAAAGTTTAACAAATTTCAAGTCTTAATAGACTCGAAACTTGTCATAGGAAATCGATTATTCATACAAACTTTCATCCCCTATTTCATACACCCAAGTATTACGATTTTTTATACTTACTTTCATCCACTTTTTTGCCGCTCAGGGGTAGAATTTCTAAATTCTAGACTATGTTGTTCTTTATTGCTGATTTCAAGTATAAATACTGAGTTCACCGAGTTAATCGAATGCGCGTTAAAATTAATTCATATAAAAACTTTGACACCCTCCCAATCAGGGGATTGGGAGCAAGGGCGGATCCAGGGGGGGCGTCATGGGGGTCATGACCCCCCCCTGGGCTGGGTACAGATGGACCAAACCCGGGAGGATTTTATTTAAGTACTTTCAATATTTAATATACCACGACTATATGACCCCCCCTGAAGCCAAAGCTGGCTATATGACCCCCCCCCCTGGCGCCAAAGCTGGATCCTCCCTTGATTGGGAGTGTGTCAGAGGCCCCTCATACTCCGGGGCATGTTCATCGGGGCGGGTCCGCTTGCGGACAATCACCTTGCGGGTGGGCGGACTATTCGGAAACGGATACCGCCACATCACTCGCACTCCCGGTGCGCACTAGGAGGGACCGCGGTCCCTCGTAATGCGCGCCGGGTGACCGGTGCAGGAGTATTGTCTAGTTTTTACGGTCGCCCTTGTGGCGGTCGCCTTCTTGGCGAGGTAGGACCCCGCTTGCTTCTCGGAGCACTTGTGTTCCCTGAAGCGGCGGAGAGGAGTCCCCGATAGCTTCGTCCGCAACCCTCGGTTGGCGAAGTATGCGTAAAAAGGAAAAAGGGTGTCAGAGGGAAAACTACTCCCTAAAAGGGTTTAGGGAGTAGTTTAGGAAAACTAAAAATTACAAACTTTACAATTTATTTAGATAAGTATTCGTGCCAAGTTTCAAGTCTATTAACTCAAGGAAATAAGATTTTTCACACAAACTTTCACCCTCTATTTTGACCTCTTCGAGGTTGAATTTTGAAAAATCCTTTCTTTGTGCACCTCTGACCCTGATCCTGAAGATAAGTTTACACAAAACTTAGTTGTACTCAACAGAGGAACTTTACCACATTGCTCGAGTATTGATAAGTGCGGGCGGGGCCGTTAGGGAGCCGTGAGAGATGAGGGCGGCAGGCACTTTTAATTTTGAAAAAAATGTGCCTGCACTTCTTACGGTCCCCGTTTTCGCTCTGCCTCACACCCTGTACCCCGCAGGCGAGGTCTCAGTTATGCGGTTTACCTATAACAATTGTTTATCCTGACCGTATTTTTTTTTTGCCTCGTTACTATCTATTCCGACATGTATACCTCCACCCATTCAAACTTTACGCAGCAAGTGTGTAGATAAATGAGAGAATTTATATTAGTATCGAAGTTAATGGTAGTGTTTCCGTCTTCCAGGACTAGGAGAGCTGAGTGACTGTCGGAGAGAATAACAGCGGACATAATTTTATAGTCGACTATCCAGTCCATCGCCTACCTGTTCAATGGCGAGCAATTCCACCTGAAAAACAGAGCAACTATCGTGCAATTTTAGTTTTTTCTTTGGGTTGCAAGTGTGGTTGGTATAAGACGTAAGGAGCTCTGACTTCCGCCATCAAAAAATTCAAAATTTCAAAATTCAATATAGTTTATTCAATCTAGGCTGTTACAAACAGTTGTGAATGTCGAAAAGCTACGCCATTGGTTCGCGAATCTACGGCGGGAGACCTTGCACTGAGAAGAACAGGCAAGAAACTCAGCATGGGCTGTTTTTTTCTCCCTGTATTATATACAGAGCTGTCAAATTGAAAAATGACTTCAATATGAGATAGCCAATGAAGTCACTTTCCATTACAAATGATATAAAAATTATGACTATGAAATAAAAAAATATAAAAAACTGATTTAACAAATTTTAAGTTTTGGAATGTTTAGTGTCCTACTGTTTAGGCATAAAAAAATGTACGATTAAAGTTAAATACAACGATTAATAGTACCCAATGTAGCAAGAGCAGAATAATCTCCCCTAGCAGCACCCGTTCACGAACATGACGCATGAACCAGCCATCGCTTCGCTCAACCATTTTTTAGGGAATGTAACCGCCGAAGAAATTTTTAGAGAGTATTACACTCACATATTTTATGGATATTAGATTGCAAAATAGGGGAAAAACAAAATAAGTACCAATGTACGTTAATAACAAACTGTAGGACACATGCATGTGGTAAATTAAACACTGGTGTAAATTCTGGCACTACTCTCCAAACCCAAAACCAAAGCCAACATCTGTGCCCCCCTTTCACTCTGTATAGAGAATAACAAGGACACACCCAGACCCCTCTTTCCCATTAAGCACTTTGGGCAAGTGCCCAGGGACCCGCGATCGATAGGGGCCCCCCTCAGATCAAATACAAAGTCCCTAGTTCCTGTTAACCACACCGCCATTAAATCTTTATCAGAGAAACAATAAATGTTCACCTACATTGATTGCTGTGTCACACAGTATAAACACAAATTGTGCAATCAAAATTAAGTAATTAATTATCACTACAATAATAAAGTAGTATAGAGCAGACTCATCTCTTTTAATTAATACATCCTAATATATAGATAAGTTTGTGGAGAAACTATTCAGGATTTAAGACATAAATGAAGCCTGCCACCCTAGCATGACCAACAAAACGCGATATGATAAAGCGATTTATCGACGCTCAACTGTCAAAATCCATTGTAGTTTGACAGTTAATGGTGTCGATTCTAGCATGATTCTCTAAACCTAAACTTAAATTTGACAACAGTGCATCCTTGCCATTCTCTGTTCAGAATGAAAAGGAGAGACTGATGTTTAATTTAGTTTTAAGTTTAGAGAATCACGCCAGAATTGGCACCAATGTCGATAAATCGCTTTATCATATTGCGTTTTGTTACTTATGCTGGGGGGGCAGGATGTACAGTAGAATTCGAATAATAAGAGGAAAATCGATGAATTACAAAGTAGATAGCTCTAAGTCTGTTCCAATCCAAACGAATTCAGGCTTGCTACTTAAATAGTGATCTGTGATTCAGACCAAAAGCAAACAAAGAGGTAAGTAAGTCTGACCATAGACAGTTTAGTGATGGGGATTCAATCATTAATTAGTGGAATCTTTAAAATATACGCTATTCCGGTCACTAGTGGCCGTGAGAACTTTATTGTAGTTTTGACTACCTCACAAAAGCTTATCGAGAAAGCTGACTCAATGTATTCGTGCCTAACACTCCAATAAACATTAGAATGTGTCATACCTACATTTTAATGTAAAAAAAACAACAAAGAAAACTGAAGACTATGCTGTATGAGCGTTATTCTTTTTGCCTTCCCTAAAAAGGGAGAGCGTTAAAAAAAAGAAAGTCATATTTCATTGTTTTGTTTTTTTTATAAAAGGTAGTGTTTTTCTAAGATTGTACATTTAGTTTAAACTCTTGGGATTTTCGATAGATTACACAAATACGACTCCATCTGTTCGAGTCAATATTTGATTATTAATATTGTGAGTAATAAGTTACAACAACAATATACTGTTTTCGAAATAGCATGGTCGTCATGGATAAAAAGGAGAGTGTAGGCACTCTAGAAGAACAGGCACTCAAAAGAAAGGAAAGGCTGAAAAATCTGAAACGCAAAAATCCTAATAATGAAAACACCTCTGATCAAGCAACTGAAACGATCGTCCTACCTAAGTAAATATAACCTAGTTTTAAGTTTATAATTTATGTATTGTGAACAAGACAACTGTTATGGTAGCCATACACACTACGAGAAATCGTTACGATTAGACTATACCGTCCGAACGGTACCGATAAATCGTAGCGTGTATATTATAAAACTGCACAGTTTCCTATACGTACGCCACGTACGATAAACTGTTCCGTTCCAACTGTACAGTCTGATCGTAACGATTTCTCGTAGTGTGTATGGCTACTATTAAACTGTTCTTATTTTGTTACTTGAGTAGATACTTTATATCAGCATGTTCCTTTCCAGGCCAAAATTCCGTAGTTACAGACCCCAAGATGAGCAATTGCAAGAGGCGAAATTAGAAGAAGCTCAACCTACCCTTGTTGATGATGAAGTCAAAGATCTCCTTGAAGCAGGCAAAGAAAAAGTAGGTGACATACAACCCGGCAAACTTCTTGAGCAAAAAAGTGTTAATATCTACTACACAAGTTTATTTGTCTGTGGTTTTGCTCAGGAAGTTTGCTGCTACTTCAAAAATAATCTTTCTTCTTATTTTCAGCATTTCTTCTTCGTTATTTGATAATGCCATTTAACTGTTATGTTTCCTTAAAGTTGATGCTATCACTTTCTTTGCAATTATTAAAGATGGATGTTTTTAAATGAAATTGTTAGTCGAACTATTTTTTGATTTACAACACTATATATTAGCTGCATTTTATGTTATTGAGATTCTCAAAGATTTTTTCTGTAGATTATAATATTAAAGAAATCTACAACTAAATTTAATAAAAACCCTTGTATATTTTTAGGTTGTGCTACAAGAATTAGATATTTCAAGTTTAGCACCAAGAAAACCGGATTGGGATCTGAAGAGAGATGTAGCAAAAAAACTAGAGAAATTAGAACGTCGAACACAAAAGGCAATAGCAGAGCTTATCTGGGAAAGGTTGAAGCATGGAGGGGAAGACAACTTAGGGGCTATGGTAACAATGTCAGAAAATAGACCCACAGATGATGAATAACAATTGTTAGGAGTTTTATTACATACTTTCCTTATCTACAAGCCAGTAGTGATATGGATGGACAAGAAGAGGTAGACTACTAGAGCTTTTTTACCTAGATATGTTTATTATTAAGACTATAGTAACAACTGTTGCTAAGTAACAGTACCAGGTCATCCTTACTTTCTACTGGAGGTTGATTATGATACTGGATATTGATTCTGACCATTATTCTATAACTATTCTTTTATTTATATATTTAATAAAAGTTAGAAAAACCATAAAAAATATATTTAACTACCGAGTAACTGCGGGTTACTTTGACCTAAAATGTGCACTTTTTTTTTAAATAAAGCTGTAGCTTCTCTTTTGTTATGAATATGTCACGTTTATATCTTTCCATTGTGAAGTTTAAAGTATAAGTTACAAAGTAATCATACGAAAATAGGAAAAAATAAGATTTAAGGGTTAATATATATTTTTTTAATTTTGGGCCAAAGTTGGCCTTAGAGAGGGTTACTTTAGCTCGTTGAGTTTTCTCTGTGAAAAAAACTCATTTTAAGCCATGTTGGGGCTATGTAACCCTTATAACAGATCACCATTGGCATAATGAATACACAAATGGATGTTTTTGCCCAAAAATAATTAAGTTAAATAAAAAATATAACTTTAAATTTAGAAAAAATAGTAAACTTACCGAAATCCATAGTTTTGAGAAAGTTTGCGCATGAACTTGCGAACTATGTCAGTTACAAAAAATCCCATGTGACAATGACAACTTGATACAGGAACGATGTCGGTAAAACAACACCTCACTACGCGCCTATATGGCTATCTGTGTTTTTCAACTGGAACTATTACGGTCACACAAGAGATACTGATGGGGCGGCAAGTTCAATATTTTTTCTGATTTGGGACAAAGTTACCCGCCTGAGCTAAAGTAACCCTCACTTACGGTACTTAAAATAATTTCTATAGGTAAACCGCCTAACTAAGACCTCGCCTGCGGGGTACAGGGTGTGGGGTAGGACGAAAACTGGGACAGTGAGAGGTGTGGGCGGCAGGCACATTCTTGTCAAAATTACAAGTGCCCGTTTCGTAAATGCACTAATAAATATAAAAATATAGTTAGATTTGTTAAAACCAGATTATGTTTTTTTTAATCATACAAAACTAAAGGTGGTCCAACAAAAGATCAATTGAAATGTTATTAGGTATTCATTTAAGTATTATATTAAATTTATATATATATTTTTCCAATTTACTTGCTACACAAAACCACCTTTACACAAAATTCGAGGTAGAAGATTAATAAAGAAAATTGAAAAGTATATTAAAGGATACTCTAAAGTGTTAAAGTGCCAATAACCATAAAAAGGAAACACATGACTTTGTTATTATTTAGTATCACAGTTTATTATGCTATCGAAATTTTACATTTTAATAATATACATGATCAGTCTATCAAATAACCAAGGGTAAAAAACTTGCTATTATAATTATATTAAACACATTTCATGCATTACATAGTGAAAATCTTAGTAAATTACATTAATGTTGTACTCCCAGTAAAAATTACACTTCTGGACACATCTAATGGTCTCCCTAACATTTTAAGTTTTGACGGTCCTTAGCTAAAAATAAACGTTATATTTGAAAAAACTTTTTATGCAGTTTTGAAGCTATTTATACATATCTATTGTACCTGGCTGTTAAATAACATTTTAAATACAAAAAGGACAATGATACCCAATGAAGTCAATTTGTTTTGTTTGACCATAAAACTAAAAAAGAACTTTGAATAATACTAATATAACACACTAATAACTCTAAGTATTCAAAAATACATATATTTGTCTATGTACATAGTTGGCAGAATCAAAATCATTATTTTATCTAATATTATGTGGTATAATTTACAAAATGTGTTCGTCAAATTGTGGTTCACCATTTCTTTGAATATTTTTATGCGATTAGTAACAAAATGCATGGAGCAGTTCTAATTAGGTATAATAAATAAATAATCTCAATAATGATAATATTCTTACTACACGCATTCATACTTATATGAACAATAATTGCCTATGACTTATATTCATAACTGTAGCATTGCTAGCATAAGACTAACGAAAAATAATCTTGGGGTTAATGAGAAACCTCTATTGTGACCTCTTCTTCTTGAAGATTTTGTGGGTGCAGCATCTTCATCCTCATCAGGGTCTATTTCGTTATAGGTGAAATAGTTGCTGTCGATGTTGTAGAATACTACCCTGTCGCCGATTGGCTGTATCGGCCTGAAGTTGTGCGTTATTTTACCGTGTGTCGATTTCAGCTCCCTGAACGCCTTTATCTATAAAGATATATGATAAACAAAACATTAATACAATTCATTTCCATAAAATGAGATGTAAGTATTTTATTGGTATCCACAATTTTAGAGGAAAACTAAAATAAGCAGGTAATCTATACATATAAATAAAATTGGAGCGTCTGTTTGTAATATTGAATGACCGCTTTTTACTACATGCATATATGAATATATATAAGGTACATACACCAAAATAACATTTTTTACAAATTTTGTCTGTCTGTCTGTTTGTTCCGGCTAATCTCTGAAATGGCTGGACCGATTTTGACGGGACTTTTATTGGCAGGTAGCTGATGTAATAAGGAGTAATTTAGGCTACTTTTATTTTAGAAAAAAAAAAACTAAAAGTTAACGCTGACGAAGTCGGGGGCGGTCGCTAGTCTTTAATATACCTAAAATTATATAAATAATACATATAAAAGTGTGGGACCTAAAGTAAAAATACCTTTGTATAACAAAAATGGATGGACTTTCGCATTTTGCACAGCTTTACCATGAGTCAGCTAGTTTGACGTTGAAAAACTTACATATGTTATATGGGCTGGGTCTTTGTGTTGTGATACCTTATTTGTTTCTGATATTCATAAAAATGGTTCTCAGTTAATTTGCTTTCTAGGGTGTATTTAATGATCATTTATTCTTTATATAAGGTAGGTGGCAAATTAACTAGAACCTGCCTGACGTTCAGTGTCCATTCATATAACATAGATTCTTTTATTACCAGAGTATCACTTGCGCGTTGCCTACCCTACCTCCAGCCTTGCTCAGTGCCCCCATCGTTGTCTTCTAATGGTCATTGCGTAGCAGACATATCAGCTCGGAAAGAGGCCCCCTCAGGTTCGAGTGGTCTAGAGGCTCCAGACGGAGAGGAGACTCCTCCCGTGGCGAGATGCCATCCGCCTGGAATACCTCTGAAGGCACTCGCCAAATCTCGGCTTGAGGTCTCCTTAGGATCTCGCCGTCCCCAAAGCCGGTGACGCTGTAAAGGTCATCTGCGACCAACAGCATACACACTCAAAAAAATAAACGGAAAGAGATCGTATACAAAGAACACTGAACGACTCAAGTTGATACGGTGACGATCCCTTTTCGAGTTGATATGTCTGCTACGACCATAAAGCGTTGTGAGCTTGACGTTATTATTCTCTGTGACTGTAGGCTAAGCTTTAGTTCTTGTTCTGAGAGACTTGGACAAGTCGTTAAAAACGATTATGCTAACTCGGAAGTTAAAAGTTATATAAATAATAAAAAAAATTAAATGCGCCAAGCCTGTTAATTCTGTCATTAACATATACATTATCCAAATGATTGATTCACTTCATTACTTATTTTTAAAATAATTACCTAGCTTCCGCCCGCGATCTCGTCCGCGTTATTAATAGTATTTTGAGATCCCACTGGAACCTAAGATTTTTTAAAGCTTGAAAAGTATCCTATATCTTTCCAGGTAATATATTTCAGAGTACCACATTTTATCCAGAACCATTCGGACGTTTTTGCGTGATTCAGTACCAAACATACAAACATCCACATTTAAAATATTAGTACGATTTATCTGGGTAATTTATGTTATTATACAGAACCAAATTATTCGATATAATCCACGTCGATTATATCGAATCGACTGTGAGCTATTCACTAAAATCTTAACTAAATAATATATTTTCCATTAATTAGTTAAACCATTAACTTTAAGTTTAAATGGTTGGCATGGCGCAAGACTACTATTTAAAATATATACATTACCCGTGGCGTGGGGCTGATCAATCAAAGGTCTTTTTTACACAACTGCGCAAAAAAAGTGTAATGTTTTGTAGTGTAGTGTAAGTGTAAAACGTGAAGTACCGGCGCAGGTCGTACAGCAGAATGTTGAGGAATGAAAATAGATGCTTCATCGCCATCCGGGAGTACCGTCTCATTCTGAAGGGCTTTTACGAAAGGCAAGTAAGCCGCATCGGTCCCGGTTATATCGCCAGATCAGCACTCACCAAGTCGTTTAGTACCTGCGAGAGGCTGATCAATTGACGCCTTTTAAATTTTTTTACACAAAAGACCAAAAAAAGTGTAATATTTTGTGGTTCTATTTCTATGCATAAAGAAGACAAGGTGTCTCAGCAGTTGGGATATTGATTGATGTTTACCTGTTCATGTGCAATTCTGATGGTTTGCTCGAAGTCGATGACGACCCCGGAGCAGGGCGGCGTGGTGAGCGAGCCACGGTACTGTTGAGTAACGAGAACGGGTGCTCTGTCACGACCCAGGAGTACTAGGTCTTGTTCTGAAGCGCTTTCACGAATGGCTTAACTAGTTGGTCACGGTTATGTCTACAATCGTTAGATAAGCACTTACCAATTCCATTGTGATCGCGTGGTGGCTGGCCAATTAATGCCATTTCTCCTTTTCGCGATTCTATACATTAGGAAGATATAATGCCACATGCAGTAGAAATATTCCCTGATGTTTACCTGTTCATGTGCAAGTCTGATGGGTTGCTCGAAATCTAGCCAGATGACGACCTCGGAGCAGGGCGGCGTGGTAAGCGAGCCGCGGTACGTAAAGTATCGGCGCAGGTCGTACGGCAGGATGTTGAGGAACGAGAACGGATGCTCCATCTCCACTTGTGTGTGTGGCTCTGTGACGTTCTGCAGGGCTCCCACTATCTCATCGTAAGCAGGGTGCTGGTGCCGATCAACCTACGAACATGAACGCCCGCAAAACTTTTTATTTAAGTTACCTACTTATTATGGTATTTAAAAAGGACGATTGGGCGGATTGAATGTTCTGTCTAATAACATATTTTATAATAACATATATAGTATTTTTTTTCTCGTAATGCTGAGTATTATACAGGGCGTCCCACGGGTATGTCAAACTGGCTTAATGGCAAACGTTTTTTTTTTAAATCGCTTGCCAAAACCGTTAATCAAACTCGTGAAATGTGAAAAAAACATGTATTTTATGATAACCGTCGAAAGGGTTAATCATAAGGATTATTTTTTCCTAAATAACTTAGTATTTTAAATGAAAAAACAATCACGAAATTTTCACGACTTTTTTAAACAATTGAACACAAAGTAGGCAATAAAAAGGTTTGTATATAAAGGCTGTAAAAAAACCTGAAAAGACTTAAACTACGCCTTCTCTACACCCAAACAAATATTACAAAATATACGTGGGAAAAATTTGTATTTTTAAGTTAATTTCTTTTTTTTCCAATACGCAATGTATAGCGCGGCGCGCTACTGTGGCGCTACGCAAAGAATGTGCTTGTGTGTGTCTAAGTGAGTCGATAAAAAAGTTTCTAAATAACGTTTTGAAAATATTAAAGTATAAATCTTGAAAAAATATTTTGACTTTGACCTTCAATATCTCCATAACCATAAATTTCCCAAGTATGGTCCAGAAGAAAAAAATGATAGTCATGATGTGGAAAATACGTGGCCTTCGACTTCGTTATCGGTTTTTTTACACCCTGTATAAGTATTGTTTTATTTTTATTTTCACGTACTTATAGTAAGGAAATCCTGAATTATTAAGAGAGCAGGTACTAGTTAGTAAATAGTTTGAAATGATAACATTCTGTTGGATGCACGGAAAATAAGAACGTAGATAAGAGGAAATTTTAATTTCATAATCTTCCTTTCATTTAAAATGCTATGTTATGTAAGAAAAAAAAAACATTATGATAACCCTATCGATGGTTATAATAAAATACCTACGTCATGTATTTTTTTTTCCAAATTTCACGAGGCAGATTCCCAGTTGCAGCAGGCGATTTAAAAAAAACTGTAAATGCAGTTCCAGTTATTATTAAAATAAAATTATGTCTTCTTTCGGTAAAATATCCTATCTTCAATATATAATATACTTTCCCTTCGTGTGACAAACCCGCGGGACGCCTTATAAGTATTGTCAATAAATGCTTTCTAATCATCACCTCGTAGAAGAAAGCCAGTACTGTCAAACCATCAGGATGCAGAATCGCCTCTTTCACGCTCTTGTACTCTTCTTTGAAGAAAACCATATGAAGCTCCATAGGGAAACTGTAAGAAATACAAAGCCATTGCTTAAACATAACGTTAAAACAAATCTGCTTGGTATAATTATTTTCTAATTAAAACTAGCGCGTGCCTGCAACATTCGCCTACGTGGAAAAAATGGTTTTCTATACATACTTCCACCCCCCCCCCCTCTCTGCAAAAAACTATCCTAGGGCCTTTCCCGGGACTATTTATCTATAAGTATCATATCTCATCTAAATTGGTTCAACGGTTTAAGCGTGTCAAACTACCAGACAGACAGACACCTCCGCATTTATAATATTAGTACCTACGGACTAAGGTAATAAAGACAAAGTTAACTTAAAGCATAAGCATGAAGAAAAGTATACTAAAAAATATTCTACGCGGACCAGGCAGCAGACGGGACTCGAACCCGCACCCTTCACTATCCGGGCGAATGCACTGACCATTATGCTACCGTGGCCCTGACGGCCGTGTCCAATTTCTCTAGTCTAAGCCTGCAAGGCAGCGCCATCTTCTCGCATTGTAAATAACCCAGAGAACTATTTTACTGTAGGTACTTACCTCCGATGGTTGATCTTATCCTCTGAGCCGAAGGTGTCGTTGTCGCCCCAATGGAAATGCATCTGACTGAACACGTAGTCGGCTTCGAGCGGCCCCCCGCGCACCCGTGGATGAAGTTCATTTTCTACCTCTATCAGCACTGGAACAATTAAAAAATATCTGTTATTAACAACGTTTGTAGGTAAGTGTTCATCACAAACTGGGTGTCAGCTAGGGTTACCAACTTTTTTCTATCAAATATAGTATTTTTGAAGCTGTTACCTCTAAAAATATAGCAGATGACAAAAAAATGGAAAAAAATATAGTATATGGTTAAAATATTTACATTTAATTTTTGAAATGAGTATATTTTTGTTGCTTTATAACTTAATAATTCCGTTTTTATTTTATGAAAGCTTTTTACTGGCAAAAGTCTGCTGTAAGAAAAATATACCTAGTAGTTTTTGGCTATTATATATTTTTTTTTTTAGAAATATAGTATTTCATCCGCTAATATAGTGGGATATCTAATATAGTAGATAACTTTTACTCCCGTAAATAACTTATATTAGTATAACTTATAAGATAATATCGGAAACTCGCTAAAAACAAGGTACATGTTAACAATCCCTTGTTACCATGTACCTTGTTTTTAGCGAGTTTCCGATATTTTGGTACGTTAGTTACTCTGTGATCATGGCGCTTGCAACAATAGGTACCGAAATATCGGAAACTCGCTAAAAACAAGGTACATGGTAACAATCCCGTAAATAACTTATAATTTAGTATTATAAGTTATTTTAGTGACCATAAAAGTTTAAAACAATATAGTGATCTTATACGGTTCCGTTTTTTTTCTTTTGGGTACGGAACCCTAAAAAGAATAAAAGATCAATTTATTTGAAGAAACATTAGGTACCTACAATAAAAGTCAAAAAACAAGACTTTTCTTCATATTGATAGTACATAGGTAGGTACTTATTTGTTTCACTGTAGGTAGGTTCGACATATTGATTGTGATTGTGACAGCGAGCAGTCAGTATAAGGCCATGGACCAGCCATGATAAGGCTGACTGTGCTACTGATATGCATTAACACTCCAACCACTACATAACACAGTACTGTTCATTCTTGTAATAAATAGGTGGTACTTAGATAATTATACAGTTTCTCCCAAGTAGGATTATCAGGGTAGGTATGTTACGTGTTTTATCACTTGTTTTACAATAAAGAATCATCAAATATCGATTACATAAGCTGTAACTGGTTAACTCGGTTTTATATTACTTAAGTATCTTTGCATCTGTGATGCGAATGCGACAACTATATGTGTTATACGACATTGTAGATTTGCTTTGCCCATACCAATTCACTGTAATAATATAGTGATATAAAATAATGTTTATGTTTGCAGTCTTCTAAGAGATTAAGGGAACTTTCCAGGTAGGCACAAAAAGAAAAGTTTGAAGGCGTTTGGGTATTGGCACAGAATCAATATTACCTAGTCTGATGATAGGAGCTTCCGAAAATACCATAACTTCGGTCAGACCAAACTAAGTAGGTACCAGTCGCGGCCCGAACCGCTTTCCTCGTGCTATAAAACTATAATACCCAGATGTTATGATACGACACAGGTCACGCAACATCGACCTAACTTGGTATCTAATTAATACAGGAATAGGTATTCGTTTGTGATTTATTATAAAAAATTATTGAGCTCGAACTACGATCTTGGAAGATAAGCAACTCTCGCAATGACCGGTTAGAGGATGGGGGACCAAAAATTTATTATCATGAGCGCGCACGTTAAGCCGGGAACAACTCCCGGCTGTATCTGCAACTGTCAGCACCCACCAACTGTACTGAACTAAAAAGCTGATGATAACTATCCAGTATATCCGTTGTTGGAGACGTGCACGTCGTCGATGGAGTCGTCGAAGCCGATGAAAATGATGTCTGCCAGCGTGATCTGCATCACGCGCAGCACTTTGATGTTGATTCTTTGTTCCCGCCTGCATCTGCAGTCGTTAGCACCCACTGACTTGTACAGCACTCGCGCTTTGGGTCATGACCTATTCTCACTTTCCATTAAAAGTGAAGGCCTATGCCCCAGCAATGGGGTCGTTAATAGGCTGATGATGATGACTAACCAGTATGTCCGTTGTTGGAGACGTGCACGCCGTCGATGGAGTCGTCAAAGCCGATGAACATAATATAATATATAATATAATACTCTTTTATTTTGCCAAAATAGTGTACAATATTTAAACTTACTAATTACATAGTTTTTTTTTTCTTATAAGGTAGGTAATAGTAAAAAAAAAAAAAACAATCTTAGGCATAAGAGTTTTCTGACTTAGTCGCACTGAGCCCTAGCTAGATTATAAAATAATCTGTGTTAAGGGCAACAGTCCCGTTCCCTCGTCGTATCCTATAAAAAGTTAATTATAAAGGCACAAACATACAATATTACATGCACACTCACACACACATAATGTCCGGCTGCCTCACACGCAGCACGTTGATGTTGATACTTTGGTCCCACCTGCATCTGCATTCGTTAGCACCCACCGACTTGTACTGCATTCGCGTGGTGGGTCATGACCTAATCTCACTTTCCATTAAAAGAGAAGGCATATGTCCGAGCAATGGGAATGTTAATAAGCTGATGATGATGACTAACCAGTATGTCCGTTGTTTGAGACATGCACGCCGTCGATGGAGTCGTCAAAGCCTATGAACATGATGTCCGGCAGTGTGACCTGCTTCACGCGCAGCACGTTGATGTTGATTGGGCTCTGGTGTTTGCCCGCGCACTCGCGGTATCTCTCGCTCCAGTGTCTGGGCCCTTGAAATAACAAAAAACATGTGAATTAAGCTTTAAAAATATACGAGAACAGCAAAACATTTGAAAAAGCTGGCAGCTCTGTTTGTCTCTGGTCTTGTTAAATTTTCACACCTAAATCTAAATTTTAGTGCAGAGTACGGGAATGATATGTTTTAATTAACTTTTGTAGCGCATTAAATTAAATTAAAGAAAGTGGGAACAAGATTGTATGAATTGGAAATTATAATTCTGTCATTAGATTACAGTAAAATTACATTATATTGAAGTCGCGAATAAAAGCTTTTCAGCTCACACAAATCCGCACCTGTGTCCCAGAGGAATACATAAGTAAAGACCAAAATCTCAAATGATTCTGAATCTGAGATTTGAATTGATTGGGATTTTTACATGTCATGTCATGAACGGTAGGTACTATATTTTTTTATACGAAACACAAACAGCGGTTCAATTGAGATGATATGGAAATCTTAAAAAATCTACCAGTTCCAATTTTCAGTCCGCCATAGAAACTTCGTAGAAATCCTATCTTTTATAATATTGCATGTAGGTACCTCATTTCGTCATAAAAAAACATGTAAAGGACATTGTTCAGCGTCCATACATAGTTAGCCTAAGAACCAACAATCATGAAATATTATTTTCTAGATACACAATCGTAAGTAAATGACTGTAAAAACAAAGATTTTTGACGGACACTTCTGAGAACTTAAATTATTATGAAAACTAAAATTTTTTCGAGGTTATGTTTAATATTCAATAAAACATAGGTCAACCTATGAATTTAGTATGAACTCAGTATGAAGTGAATTAATATTACAACTAATTCATTTTATTCGGTGCGATTTTAAAGAATAACTATTAGGAAAAACTTGGTAGGAATCATGAATAAAATAAAATCTGTAGTTATGCTTTTTATTTATTGACTATTTTTCACATAATTGTATCATATTGTTTATTGTATTTATTTGTATATCACATGTATATTGTGTAAATATGCAGCGTGAATGTGTATCAGGTGTTCTTGAATAATTTGGTAGTATGATCCTCTCAGGATGTTGTGGCACAGGTTCAGTAGCACTTGGTAATAAGGGCTCTGCTCTTTGGTAACATCGATGGCATACTAGATAGCCGAAATAGTTAAATTAAAGGAAAAACAATCGCATATAAACACACACAACAGGTAATCCGAAACGAGAATGCACTTTCCGGTATATTATACTACTCTTTGGAATGCACGAATGCGACAGATTATTACGAATGCAAACTGCATGCACCACAACCACAGAGTAACGAGTTTTTGCCGGCCATTCACTTGACAACAGTTTGTCCTTGTTATGCTTAATAAGGAATGAAAAGGACAGACTGATGTCATGTTTTAATAGCCAAGTGAAGTGCCGGCATTAGGAACAAAGAGTGTTTTGCTTGCAGCGCTACCATAGATTATACACATAAAATGGTATTTATTGTCTCAGATTATTTTTTAACTTATTAATTTAGCTTACTTAACTGGAAGTGTCCGTCACAATCTAAATACTGATAATTATCGCAAAAAATATACTAAGAATTATCATAAATGCCAAATTGGTGTTGGTTCTTAGGCCAATTTTAACATTGTCCTTTAACCAATTTTTAATGTTTTATTTTCATTTAAGTATGTAACTTTTGAAAGTTGAATACTTAAATAATTTTATTTGTAAATCTACTTTTATGCCTTTTAACATCACCGCCAAAAAGAACTTTTATGTTTTTTGAAAGTCATGAGACAATGTACTTAGGTATGTATAGGTACTTTTGAATTTCAAAACTGTTTTATATAAATTATTATTATCATATAAGCCTTAAATGGAGTACTCATAAAGGTATTCCATTTCTAGTCTCGATTTACATGCGAAAGTGAGTAGATAAAATTGCTGCTGCAGACACAATGTTAATAGAACCTTATCTGTTTATCTTTTTATGTTTTTCAGCACTAGCTAGCAGAAGATTGCAAATTTTTAAAACCTGTATAACCTTTGTATATGTAAGTAATACTCTTTTAATAATAGTTACATCATGTATGCAAGAGATTAAAGCCTCCGCCCACCCATAGGTGCGCTATTATTGTCGGTCGATAATATCAGATGCGATATTGCAATATTGCGATATACTTCTATTCTATAGCGTCGTTATAGTCGCAGCAGTGTGCGTAGCAGCCGTTCTCGTACATTATGAACTAAAAACAAATATCGCAAAAATGCATCCCTTATTATGGACCGATAATAACGCGTCTAAGATTATAATAATTCCACTTACCAATAACACCGTCATAGCCGAAATCTTCTCCGCGAGTTGGTGTCAATACTGTAAACAAAAAATAAATAATCAAGAGCCTGACAGTATAAAATACTACAGAAAATATAACTAGAAAAAAAACCACGCGGACCAAACAGCAGACGGGACTCGTACCCGCACCCTTTGCTATCCGGGAGAATGCACTGACCAATTCTGCTACCGCGGCCCTGCTGGCCGCGTCGAAATTCTTCTAGCCATTCTTAAGCTGCAAGGCGGCGCCATCTCTTTTACAAGTATTAAACATTTGAAAGAAGTTTTATAGCAAATATAGTTATATTTTTTATTGTGGGTTACCTACAATGCGAAGTGATGGCGTACATATCTGCCTAACTGTACAACACTTTGATGGCTGTAGTGTCTAGGGGTCACATATTTTATTGCAATAAAAATGACAAATAAATCAAATCCATCATTTCATCAACATCATCATTTTTTCTTTTATCCCCCTGAATAAATCAACGACGAACCCTTAAAAGATTTATTGCAGTTTTGTAATTTATGTGAAATCGATTGGGAACGTACGTGCGCTGCGTACCTATCTACTAGATCCCTAAACACTTGATGTCTATGTGAATTTTATGGTGAATGACTATTCTTCCTAATGTTATTGCAAATAGAGTCTTGGTTTTTCTGTGACTTTAAGGCAAGTAACAGGGCAATTAATCGTAAGGATACTTCAGGCGGGCGCTGTGATTTGAGCGCCAAATTGGCCGAACCCACTTATTTATGGAAGAATGCATATATTTTACTTGTATTTTAATATGGCTCCTAAGATTTTTTAAAGCACCGCTTTGGAATTTCAAAAGTAAATGGATAAAATTTCCTCCTCTTGCATCCTTATTAATAAACAAAGAATAAGCTTGGATTAGTTACTCCATGTTTTGTCTCTGTTCAATAAATGACAAATGGCATTTGAGTGATATGAACAAAACATGGCGTAACTAGTCCAAGCTTAGTCCTCGTTTATTAATAGGGGGTTGAAGTTCAAGTATTTTTATTATATTCAAGGCAATGACATTTGCCTTAGAATTATTGGCAATTCAATCCGTTGCAATGCAATTTTAAATAAAAATGAGTAATTATTCACGTCAGACAGTAGCACAATATCTCGACTTATGTGTTACCTAAGCAAAGCTATATATTACCGACCATCATAAGGATCGTTGTAATGGAAATATAATGAGCAAATTGTGTTTGGCTAGAAGACTTCGCAGTTTATGGATTTCGAAGGTAATGACGTAAATGGCCATTTATTGGATAATTCTATTGTCATTTACAATGATTCTCACTACTTCTTACATTCGACCGTAATATCATCCGACAGCATTGATATAAAAAATATATATTTGCAGTCCAGAATACACCTTGTCCAAGATTTTGCACATAGACCTGTGATGTGCGGACACCATAGTCGATAGGCACTTGATATACCAGCGTCTTAATCTTATTATACATATAGGTTTAAAATTCTTATCGCAGAATCACAACGCTAAAGAGTAGGTATGTGTTAATGTGCAGGAATCTTCTGTAAGTTGGAAATTTCATCCACAGAAGGGCACTTCAGTACAAACCCAAAATCGTTTCTCATCGCCTTGCATCTCATTTTTGTCAATTATACGGCATACTGCGACACGGTACATCCTTAGATGGGTCACATAGTTACTTTGTGGTGGAAGTAAATAAAATCCATAATACACATAACTGGTTGTACCTCTTGTCGGATGAAATAGAATCAGCGGTTATGCTTATCGCAGTGTACCTAATTGTCGTAAGTTTAAATATTACTCTCATTCCTTATCGGTGACAACTTTCATTAGGTCTGAGATACTGCTCCGTTTACAGCCCAACGCTTTTACAGTTAAATTTTTATTTTTTAAACATTTTACAACTAAATGTAAAGAAATTTTACTAAAAAAAATCCACGCGGACCAGGCAGCAGTCGGGACTCGAACCAGCACCCTCCGCTATCCGGGCAGATGCACTGACCATTATGCTATCGCGGTCCTAATTGTCTGTGGCGAAGTGTTCTTACAGTTTCCGAAATTAAGTTTTCCATCTTTTCGACACATAAAAATACTAAGATATCTTTTCTTAGTAGTATCTACATTCTTTAGTTTGAGATAAAGTCGCATTTAACTATGTATCACACCACAGGCCCTAAATCAAATGACTAGTTCAGAACAACCACGAAGTCTGCATGACTTTACATCATATTACCATACTTACATAACTCAGCATTGCAAAGTGTGCAATATTTCACTTGACATGGTGATGTATAATACGTATTCCCTTTGTATTCAACCTTAAAACCGGAACATCGCTATTACGCTACCAATGATCCACAATCCACATGGAAGTCAGTATTGTGGGGCCGTCACCATATTTTATAATGGGATTGATAGTTTTCCGCATACGTTTTCCATAAAATTACCATCAGGTCAAATACACACTGTACTACTTTGATTGAATTCATGCAATTATACACGCGCTTTAAATGAGTCCCTAATTATTACTGGCAATGAATTTCAAATTCTATGCTAATTATGTAGAGTTAGTTATACTTATGAACTTGGCTTGTATAATAAAACGTTAAGCTGAAAATTATGATTTATAGATAAGTACTACATAAAGGCTGTTTCTTTAATTTATGAAAATTATTCGCTCTAATCACACAGTCAAGGTAGATTACATTTATCCAGTCCAGTAACTGGATCCCGTTTTAGGCGCCTAACGACCAATGCGAAACGAAATTTTGCATCGTTGAGGTATAGGTACGGCAGTGATGTATGATTATATGTACATTATTTTGGCACTTGCTATGGTGCTGTGCCATACCCGGAAAAGGCATTATGACTTGAAGGAAACTTTTTTAGGATCTGTATGATGTGGGTTGCAGATAGGGTTACCATCCGTCCGGATTAGTCCGGTCATGTCCGGATTTTTTAAATTACATTAAATATGAATAATAAAAGTACCTATTGATTTAAATACCATTGTAACTACACTTAGTTACTTATTAGTAATGGTACCATTTTGTGACTAAAAATCCGGACTTTTTTCGAAATGTCAGGATTTTTGTCAGGACTTTTGTAATTCCTAAATGGTAACCCTAGTTGCAGATAATATTTAACTACAGCGTCACCGGACTCGTAGCAGCAAGATCCTTATGGAATTCAACCAGAAAATTCTGTGGAGCTCTAGTTGTAAGAGGAAGGCATCTCCCCGCGAGAGGAGTCTCTGCTCCGCCATAAAGTCGAAGGAAGGCCTCACGATCATCGACAGAACTAGAAGGCTAAGGCTAAGACACGGACTTCGTCTCTAGTTGGACGTTGTCGTGGGGGATGTGATATGACGGTAGTGACGGCACCACTCATTTTACTTGACCTTTGTGCGGTCGGACTGGCAGGAAAAAAGTGTTTATATGAAGCCAGCGCTGTCTCGACATACAATGAGATTGGTGCTAGCTACTGTATCAATATAAAGCGCGCTCTGGGCGAGTAATCACCAAGTTACCATTTGTATTGAGGCAACTGCGGAACTGCCTGAAATTAACTTGAAATAATTAAGTGCATACGTTTTTCAATAATTGTAATTTTTGTAAAATCGGACGTGCCTTAAAAATAATAGATTCAACGAGACTATCTAGTTTTAAGAAGTGAATGGAACAAGCCTTCGTCTTTTAATGAGCTTAAATTCAATGCCCGTGCTGTACGTTTTATTTTTATGGAACTATTATTTTAAACCAGAAATGTAATAGACGTCGTCAGTTTATTATTATTTTCAATCATAAAATTGATAGCTACGCTATATGAAATTTTAGTTCATAAGATTTAATAATACGAGCTCACGTAATTAAGGAGGACATAAACAACCCACGACTCGGGAACATATATTTGTGCTCATCACATGAGTCATGATAGTCATGCTACTGGGTTTGGAACCCAGGATCTTTTAGAGTACAAGACAACAAGGTAACCTAGAGAGAACTGACGATGCAGTTATTAACGTAAAGTAGCAGTGTCTAATTTTGTTTTTAATACACTCATTTATCGTAGCAAATTACTACTCTCCAGTCAAGACCCTTCTGTCCTCAACCTTGAAATACTTTGGTTAAGTAGCACCTAAGTAAGCACAATTAACACGACCGAATTCATTAAGTATTGCACTAGCGAAAAAACTCAATCGATTTTCAAATATTGTCACGCGCTAGAACAACAAAAAAGGTTGCCTACAATAATTGTTTTTTTCTATCCCATTATAGTTTTCACGGCTGTTAACGTACCGTAAAGGCGATTGCAAATAGGATCGATGCAACAGAAATGTACTTGCCGTAACGGTCAACGACGCGTGTCAAGTTCATTGATAAAAATAAACTGGTTAAGCAAAGTTTAACTTAGGCATAACCTTTTGCACCGATTTCCAGATAAAATCGTGAACTTTCCAATAGCTTTAGTTTTTGTCAAAAATGAAACTGACTTCACGAACAAAAGGTTAATTCGAAACTATGATAATGTTGTAAGAAGCAGACTTTATGCTTTTGGGTAATGGGAAAAAATGATTGTTTGTCTTTCTAAGTAAGTGCTGTTATTCTAAACTCGTAATAAATTCGTTCTTTTTGACGTTCAAATCCGGAAATAGTTGTATGCAGAGGCAGGCATAAATCAAGAAGTAGACTCCAAACATGAAAAACAATTAGCTTGTTACGGAAAATATAGTTTTTGTTTTGATTTAATTAATACCTTTCGTTTCCAGCAAACTCATTGTTATTATTAGGGTATTAACACAATTATCATTAGGGTACCAATTTCAACCTAAGGCATAACTTATTATCTATGAAGCTGGCACACGGTACGGCCTTTTTAAATATATAAGCTCTTTTAACTTTTTCATGTTGTCTGAAATCATAGTAACACGACCTTCGCTTAGCATAACTTATATGAATTTTAAAAGAATCAATAATTATTGTATAACACGTAGTACTGGGTACAATGCGATATTTAAGTTTCAGT